GACGGCCGAGGATCAGCGGAGCCAACATCGGCCCGGCTGCCCCTCGAGGGGGCCCTTCGGACGCCTTCCCAGAGCCCCACGATGTATCCAGCACAGTCGGCGAGGTCCCCGGGAGCCATCGAGCAGGGCCCCAGGAGGTGTCCAAGACGGCCCAAGACATTTCAAGAGGCTCCCTATAGCCAAGACGCTGACATGAGGGCCACTTTGGGCTCAGGAAGGGCTCTGGTGTTCCCGCGGTTCCTCAGACTGAGGTCGGGCTCGGACCCGTGCCCGAGGATCGCCGTGGCCAGCAAAGCCCCTCCGTTCTGTATTCAGCTTGCCTTATGATAGCACAACGTCTGTATCCCGCACAGCCGACGAGGCCCCCGGGAGCCCTCGAGCAGGGCCCCAAGAGGTTGACAAAACGGCCCAAGTGGCCTCAAGATGTTCCTTCGATTTCCTGTGGCCCTCCGGCAGCAAGGGAGCCAGCAGCAGCAGCAGCAGCAGCAGCCACGAGCGGCAGCCGCGAGCGGCCAGCAGCAGCGAGTGGAACCAGCAGGCAGCAGGCAGCATATGCAGCCAGAGCCAGAACGCAGCCACGCATCATGAAGTAATCTAAAGTAGCAGCCAGTTTGCATCATCGGGCTTCAGCAAGGACAAACTAGCGGCGGCAAGCGGAATCAAGCGGCATCCGGCAAGCCACAGGGCCGCGCACATGCCACGCCATGGTACTTGGAGCAGAGTTGTCTTCTCATAAGGTTTGTTATGTTGTGTTGTTTGTCACGTCCGCCTTGCACTGGTGTCTGGGTGCGCAATTGTGTCCGCCATGCCGTGTCGCCAACACCCGGAGGGTTCCAAAAGGGGTTTTTGGGGAGGGGGTGTTCCAGAGAAACCCTTGGGGGACACCCTCCTTGAAAACCGCCTTCCCCCAAACCACCTTTGGAACCCTCTGGAACACGCGTGTCCTTACAGATGTTGCATCGCACTGTTTGTGCTGTATTCCTGACACATGTTCGCGAGTGACCAGGTTTGATCGGGGGCGCTCCGCGCCCAAGCCCCTGCTGTCACGATTACAACACCCGGACAGCGTGCTCGCCTTCGGCCGATCCCCGAAGGTCCTCGGAGCCACCTGGGGACCCCCCACGAGTTAAGTCGGGCCTGTCCCTCTACAGGAAGGATATTCAAAAATAGTCTAGGAAATCGTATGGGGATTCTTTGTTGACTATTTATGAACATGTTGGAAGTATTTTCCATACCTAGGCTCTGCCTAGGAGGGTTCTTACCCTCTTGGCTTAAAGGGGCCGGGCAGTGCTACACGCCCTGGGCGGTTTCCCCAGGAACCGTCCCGTGGTTCCCCCAGTTGCGTCCCCTTAGCTTAGCGTTGCTTATCTCATCTTAGCTTAGCTTGTTTAATCTTAGCTTAGCTTAGCTTCATCTTAGCTCAGGTTTATCTTAGCTTAGCTTACCTTCATCTTAGCTTCGCCGAGCTTTAGCATAGCAGAGCACAGCATAGCATAGCAGAGCGTAGCATAGCATAGCGCAGCACAGCATATCAGAGCAACGCCCAGCATAGCATAGCATAACGCAGCATAGCATAGCATAGCGCCCCGGGCGGTTCCCCCAGGATCCGTCCCGTGGTTCCCCCAGATGCGTCCCCTTAGTTTAGCGTTGCTTATCTCATCTTAGCTTAGCTTATTTCATCTTAGCTTAGCTTAGCTTCATCTTGCTTCAGGTTTATCTTAGCTTAGCTTACCTACATGTTAGCTTCGCCGAGCTTTAGCACAGCAGAGCACAGCCTAGCATAGCAGAGCGTAGCATAGCATAGCGCAGCACAGCATATCAGAGCAACGCCCAGCATAGCATAGCATAGCGCAGCATAGCATAGCATAGCGCAGCACAGCACAGCACAGTATAGCACAGCGCAGCATAGCATACATAGCATAGCATAGCAGCAAAGCAAAGGCAACGCAACAGCAGCGACAGCAAAACAGCACACGCAACGCACAGCAAAAGCATGGGTGCAATTCCATACCTAGGCTCTGCCTAGAGGGTTAGCTTAGCTTAGCATAGCGCAGCGCTGCATTAGCATAGCATAGCATAGCATAGCATAGCATATCATAGCCAATCATATAGCATAGCATATCATAGCGCAGCATAGCATAGCATAGCATATCGCAGCTTAGCATCGCATATCATATCATAGCTTAGCATAGCACAGTACAGCATGACACATCATATCGTAGCATAGCTTAGCATAGCTTAGCATAGCTTAGCATAGCATAGCATAGCATAACATAGCATATCATAGCGCAGCATCGCATGGCATATCATAGCATATCATATCATAGCATAGCAACTAATGCTGGTTTCCTAGGGGCTCCAACTTCTAGGTAGGGTCGCACTGGGGTAGTTTGTTTGTATTTATTACGTTTCGCACAAGATCCCCCTGTAGGAGGACAGGCCCGATCTAACCCCAGAGTCCCCGGACGGCCTGACTAGCCCGCGAGCCGCCCGCGTGAGCCGCCCGGGAAGCTCCGAGGACTCCACAGAAGCTCCCTTGAGAGTCCCATGACGCTTGGCGTCGCTCGGACGTGTGCACTCTTTCTCGGCGGGGATTCTTGAGGAGCATCCTGGATCATCCTGCGGAAAAAAAAAACAAGCACGAAACCGACAAAAAAGCACAGGGGATGGACGTCCGAGCGACGGGGAGGGCGTCCTGAGATGGCGCCGCGCCAGGCCAGGACGCCCCATGGCCGCCCGCGGAGGGCCGCCCTATGGGCGGCCCCCGCAATTCGGGCTGAACCCTCAGAAGGCTCCAGGGCTCCAAGAAGGTCCTCGGCGGCCTCCCAAACTCCAAGAAGGACTCCCAAACTCCAAGAAGGACTCCAAGAAGGACTCCAGAAGGACTCCAAGAAGGACTCCAGAAACTCCAACCTCCCAAACTCCAAGAAGGACTCCAAGAGGGTCCTCGGCGGCCTCCCAAGGGCACGCCCCTGAGGTGGCCCTGGCTGGCCTCCGATGCGGCGCGGCCCCCCGAGTTTCCCAGGGACGCCGATGCAGCGGCGATGCGGCGGCGCGATCTTCCCGCCCGATCTGTTTCGGCCCTGTCTGGGCGGGGCTTCAGAGAAGGAAAAGGTACCCATACCGCTACTCTTGCCTCGTTTTCCCCTTTGGGGCCCTCTTGGGATGCCCTCGTCACCACCGCTGGATTCGCCTCGACATTCTGGTCAGACCGCACTCCGGGAGGTCCAGGGAGAAGCGGTATGTTCTGGGCGTTCCTTCCAGTTGGGCTCGAGCGCGGGGAATTTCACGGTCTGCGGGGTCGGCGTTGACATTTTTTGTTGCAGCCGAGACAGCCGCGGCGCATTTTGCAACGTATCATGTCTCAAGCATGCGCAACAACACGTTGAACAAACCGCCGAGGTTCTGCACATGTGCGAGGTTATGGAGCAACGGCAGCAAGAACACGCACAAAGGTGGTTGCAGCAGCAAGTTCGAAGCAGCAGCTGCTAGAACATGAATCGGCATCCTGCAGCAGCGAGGGGCTGCACGACCGCCCCCTTCTTGCTACTAGTGGGACACTGGGCTTCTGTTGCCGCGAATGGCTCAGCCCACCGTGGATTTAATCTACGGCTGCCCGCTAGTCTCTCCTGTATAATGCAGCGTTCACCGCTCGCCAAAGTGTCGAGCAGTGGCAGCGGACGGGCCCCCTCAGGCGGTCACCGGCGCGGCCCCGGGGCCCCGGCGCGCTTCCAAGATGGCTTAAGAGCGCTCCCAGCCGCCCCCGGAGGCGCCTAAGAGGGCCCGAATGCGGTGAATGCGCTGAATGCGGCTTGCGTTCCAGCTGGCTACGAGGCGGCCTTCTGAGAGAGGGCGATCGCTAGGGAGCGTCGACCAAAAAACAAACGACACCACCCCACCCATGGCCCTCCATGTTGCACTACGGCCCATCGGGCGCCGTAGCGCATACGATGCAAAAACCCATACCAGGTCTCCTGGTATACGCTAAGCCCCGTGGGGCCGTAGGCGGGGTGGTGTCGTTTGTTTTCTGTTCCAGAGCGCACTCCCGCTTGGAAGAGAACTGACAACGGTATGCTGCCTGCTGGTGGAACAGGAAGGAGGAGGGGAGGGGCGGAGACACGCAATGGCAGATGCATGGCCCTGCCACCTCTCAGATGGCCGAAGACGGTCCAAAGAGGACGGCCGAGACGGGCCCCGAGCGCTCGAAGGCGCCCAAGACAGCCGCCCGACGGCCCACGAGGCCCCCCGAATGTCCAAGTGGGCTCCAGAGAGAGCCCCAGGAGAGCCCGAGCAAGGACAAATCGTCCCAATCCCGAGGGAAAACGTACGTTTCGGGAGTTCTCGTGCTGCTCGTCTTCGAAGCGTCCAAGACGGCCACACAGGCCCTCAAAATCGTCCCAAGACGCCTCAGGAGGCTGCCAGGTGGGCCCAAGACGGCTCAAGACTGCGCCAGGACGGCTCCTCGGGCGCCCATGGTGGCCCTTAGAGGGGGGCCAGGACAGGGTGGGAGCGCTCCGAAGGCCCCATGACGCATGTACTTGGGTGCCCGCCTCGCAAGCCCAAGAAGCATATCACGTACATGCGGTTTGGGGCCCGCTTGGGGCCTCCTAGGGGCGCTCTTGCGGCCTTCTTGAGGCCTTCGGGCCCCTCCAAGACAGGGCCGGGTGCATTCTGCCACAGAAGGCCTCTCGTGAAAGAATGGTGGGCCCGCGCGCGGCGGCGTCCTGGTTGGGTAACCCCCGCCGCCGAAAGCACGGGTACACACTAGTCTCTCCTACATATATGGCCGGTGGAAGCGCGTGCGAGAAGCCCAGGGCCTCAAGTGTTGAGACTTACCCGCCTTGTCTATCGTGTATTACTTCATTTGATGGGGTTTGATGCCCCCCAGGTTGCGCTTTCAAGGTTGATAGTTCGATGGGATGAACACGCCGCTTGTCTATTTCGAGTTGGGGGTCTGATGGGTAGGCCAACGCCCCCAACACAAGTTGATCACAGTTTGG